ATAAAATTGGAAGTTTTATTTCTGCCTTTTTTCCTAATGATTCCCAACATGGAACTTGCCTTCTTCACAGTAGCGATTCATGGAGTCAGTATTCTCCTTGAGATGCTGGATTAACCTACAGAAGAGTTTTCAAGGCATTTTAAATAAATATAGAATTGTTCAGAATGTTGCCAGAAACAACACGTATGAATTTTAATGCTTCAATAATGAGCTGAAACTATCAGTTACAAAAATGATAGTTCAGTGCTTACCAGCAACAAAATTATTGCTAATGAACATCGCTTAATAGCTGTTCAGCAAAAATGCTAACAAAGTTTTTATTATTATGGTTGGTCACACAGATGTTTAGACTGGATTTGGCAGTTTTATTCACCAGATGTTTAGACTGGATTTGGCATTTTTATTCACCTGTCAAGTCCTTCCCAAGGACCTGGGATAGGCAGATGTTGTTGTTTGATGGTGTTAAAGGTATTGATTGCACAGACTGACTACAAACAATGGCATGACAAAGTAGCCACAATGGTGCATTGGAATATTTACAAGAAATACTATTTGCCCGCAAGCAAGAACTGGTGGGACCCCAAAACAGACAAAGTAATAGAAAATGAAGCTGAAGACTTCAGAATTCAAACAGACAAGCACCTGCCACACAACACCCCAGGCTTAACACTTGACCAAAAAATCTGGATAGTGGACATTGCAATACCTGGAGACAGCAGAATAGAAGAGAGAGAACTGGAGAAAATCACAAAATAGAAAGACCTGCAAATAGAAGTAGAACGACTATGGCAAAAGAAAGCAAAATAGTACCAATAGTAGTGGACATTGCAATACCTGGAGACAGCAGAATAGAAGAGAGAGAACTGGAGAAAATCACAAAATAGAAAGACCTGCAAATAGAAGTAGAACGACTATGGCAAAAGAAAGCAAAATAGTACCAATAGTTATAGGACCTTAGGTGCAATCCCAAAACATCTGGAGCACCCTTTGAACACCATCGGCATTAACAAAATCGCCATCAGTCAATTGTAAAAGGCAGCTTTACTTGGAACAGCTTACATCCTGTGATGATATCTTTAACACGATCATACAACAACATCTGCCTATCCCAGGTCCTTGGGAAGGACTCAATAGGTGGATAAAAATGCCAAATCCAGTCAAAATAAAACTGGCTGACTGTGCGGCCAGCCATAATTATTATTCAGGTGAAACATTTAATTATGATGTGAGAAAACCAACTGAAAATGTGTTTGGTGCCAAGCACTTATTAGCTGCTTTTTCAGCTAATTGGGCTGCAGCATTAGTGTGATAGTTTAGATGCATTAAAAAGTCATTTAGATGATGGCTATAGGCAGGGTTCTTGCAAATTAAGTTATGTTTAGACTACCCCCAGAATTGTGGCTTTAGCTTTAGCACTTTGAACCTTGGAGATGAAAGTGACCACAAATTCTACTTAACTTTTGTATTTGTTATTTTTTATTGGTAAGCTCAGAGATGAAATTACAACACTAGTAGTTTTTGAAGTTGTTAAACTTGTTGGCTTATGTCTGCCGCAGATGGCATGGATTCAATCCCCAAATAAATTCTCCACAGTCTGACACTGTGGATGTACAAAAACTCCAGTTGGACATGCTAAACTGATGTAATGCAGTCTGTAAGACACAAACCTTGTGGTGCATCCTGCAACTCTTGCCTCTGCTTAAAACTTATGTAAATGATGTTAAAGAATGTTGCAAGCTACCCATCTCTGTACAGATCACAATACATGAATGGGTTGAACACTCCAAATTCTATGTTGATGTCAGGTATTGATAAGTATTCTATGCTGTTAAAAGCCCGTACTGAAACGGTATTGCTATATTTTCCAAATATGCAAATGGACACAGAAGAAATTGTGCTAAGAAGAGATTCCAGAGAAGAATGTTCCCAACTGACACCCAAGGAATCCTTAAATTCTTGATATTCCCAATCACAAAATTCAGAATTTCCAAATCACACAATTTTCTGCATGGAGATTTATGGCTGTTGGTTCGTAGACAGTTATGACAAGTTGGTCCCTTCCCTGTTTTAGAAAATGACAGACCCTGAAGGTACTACTGGCTCCCTGGCCTGCATGAAGCCAAAAGCACCAGTTGAGTCCATATGTGTGTTATGGGTTGGTTGCAAAATCTTTTCATGGAAGTTAAAAGCACAGCTGTTCCCAATAATTATGCTAGTTGATACCTCTTCTTAATGGGTCTCCCAAAAAGAGAGCTTACCTTGCAGATACACCTATGGGGAAACCAATGCCTGTATAGAGCACCAGACAGTAGGGTATGGGGCAGGGGGAGCTGTCACCACGGAAATCTGTATTTTATCTCTAGAATGATCCAAAGAATATCTCTGTAAGTTTTGGGTTTCCCATGTGAGTAGTTGCTGTGAGTAGTCGTCTTTTTCATAATACTTGTCAAAAAAAGAATTCCAAATGCTCCTATCCTCTCTCACAAAGTAACTCTAGAAGACACCTACAGTAGTAGCCTAATGCTACCATATCTGGACTACAAAAAGCTCTTTGCTGGTCTACTGGTCATCTGGATGGTCTACTGGTCATCCAGATTTTGGCAGCTGCAATAGGATCATTTTATACAGATACCTACCACCTTAGTTAATGTAGTTGCATCTTTACAACACTGGTACAGAATGAAAATCCACACGCATATTTGTCTTGGCAATGCCAAGGAGAGCAAGAATAAGGGAGAACAAGAATAAAGGAAGTAGTTTACTGTTTGTCTTTTTGTTTTGTTCTTTAAAGCAAAGTGATGGATAGAAAGAACATTTAGCCATGCAGTCTTTGCAAGTCTATTTAGGACCTCATGTCACTGAATTCAGTAGGATTTATTTCCAGTTTATCTTTCTAGCTCTGGAAAGATTTCTGTCATCCCGGATATTCTTGTTATGCCCAAGAGGAAGCAGACGAGCAGTGTCTGTGGTTCCCAAATGTGGAAGAACCAGTCACCAGGACAGAGGAGTTTCCTTCCCTGGACAAAAACGGGAAGGGCAAAATAACTTGGTGTATTTGAAAAGTCATTTGGCTGAACAGGGACCCTGTGGATTTCCTACACATACAGTCTGCTGAATATTTGCATGTTCAAATCAAATCAAATGAATATTTGCTGTCTTCTTGCCACCTATTTATTTAAGACCTTTTAGATTTATACACTTCCTTCATGGATTTCTCTTATGCTAAAAAAGCACATGCATTTAAATGCATAGATTTTAATGCCAAAATTTCACCAATCCTCCTAAACGTCTGAATCTTGGAACCAGTATTTCCTGTAATGTTTCATATAATGTATTCTTCTGTCAGTTTTGAGCCAGCCTGAGCTACCTGATTCAAAAATCATAATTCAGAAGCCCCTAAAATTGCAAGTTCTGTTTGTGAGTCTGATACATTTAAGTTTGAACTGGCAAATACTCATTTGCTGTAGCTTTACACTGGATAGAGACAGTTTCTTATTTAAGGAAGAAAGATTAAACTCTGACAGAGAAAATTCTGTGGCATATCAGCTTAGTTGGATGACTCCAGAGAGCTTTTCTATCTACATTTCCCTGTTCCAGATAGCATTTTGCACCTTTTCCAACATAAACACCTATCATGGAACTGCAGCTGTATTCTGAAGGCTTCTATATTTTTAATGCATTAGATCTGTTATTTTGTGGGACTGCAAGAGAAAGTTTTTCAGCCTTTTTAACACAGTACTAGATCTGGAGAAATGTATTTGGAGCTTTCAATAAACTGCCATTTCTAACAAAATTTTTGCAAGCTCACAAAAATTGAACATTTACAATTTTGACTATGTGATATTGAAACATGAGATTTAGAAAGTTCAGTTCCCTCCCCCCATTTCTTACATTTTACCCGGCCATTTGGGCTTTGTTTCCTTGGAAAATGAAAATAATAAAACATGATTCTTTAGCAAGTAGGGTTTGGATTAGATTATCTCTGTAAGCTACCTTCCAGTTCTATGATGTTATGATCCTATGATGCATGAAATTGGATTTTATTTTAATTGGTTTATTCTAAATTCTTATGTGATATTAAATGTTTTATATTATAAATCACTTTGGAAGGCTGTATAAAGTAAGAATAAGACATAAGTAGTTTCCAATTGTAGTTTTATTGAGAGCTCTGGTAATACTCAAATTTTCTGTTTCTCTGTGATCATTCATTTCAGCACATTCGCCACCATCCAAATGCCAAGAAGATGGAAAGGAGACAAGGGCATGTATTGGCAATTGGCAACAAAACTGCTTGGTTTCCTCTCAGTCTGGAAACCTGAAAAATTGATGAGAAGTAGAAGTTTAAGTAGAGCAAATATAATTATGGATTAAACACTTTAGACAATACAGAATATTTTTAATAATTGTAAAGACTTAAAAGATGCTTTTAGAATGAAGAGGGAAATACCAGTGTGATTACAAATGTAGTTTTAAAATATACTCTATTTGGGGGGCTGGAGTGCAATCCAGGACTGTGCTTCCAATTAGGGGACATCAGATCACATGAATGTCTTCCCGTAACTCTGCTTGGGCAAATCCTGGGTTTTGCCAAGACATCCTGCAGATACCCGCTCTCCTCACATGGAGTCATACATACAATCCAGACTGCACGAAACCGGGAATCAAAATAGCAGATGGTGTGAACTTTTAGTTTATTTCTTTTCTTTTCAAAACTTGATTCATCCCTGATTATAAGTCTTTTGTTTTTTTGCTGATTCCTGCAGCATAAAGAGAAAAATAGCTTGCACACTAATAACAACAGACCGACCTTCAGTAAGAAAATGGTGTGTTTTGTATATGACTTTTCTTTCCCTTTCTCTCAGCTACCAGGTTTAAAATGCAGAAGGGTTAGTCTCAAGATACCAGCAGCCTGGAGCCCAGGCTAAAAATCCAACTGGTCCTTGACCGAAGGGAAGAGCTTTGCCTCCAGCTGACTCAACCTTTCTGACTTTCCCTTCTAGGGTTCCGTAACCTGCATGTAGATGACCAGATGGCCATCATTCAGTACTCCTGGATGGGTTTGATGATTTTTGCCATGGGATGGAGATCCTTCACCAACGTGAACTCCCGGATGCTTTACTTTGCTCCAGATTTGGTCTTCAATGAGTATGTTTTCTCTCTCTTATGTTAGACTTGATCAGTGCATAAAGCTGAAGAAAGTGGGTAGGATGTTATCCAGTCATTTGCTTTAAGTGAAAGCCAGAGGAAACACGGTCTCTCCTTTCATCAGTCACAGCAAGGCAAGTGAGTCACAAGACCAAGAGTCTGCTTTCAGCGAAGGCTTGTTATGTGAGGCCAGAGTCGAACTATTTGATCTCAAATTGTGTCTGCTTGACCTCTTTCAGACAAATCTTTAAGGTCCCCATTCCTTGAATGTAGTGCTGTTGAGATTGAGTGAGGTTGCATTTACACAAGAGCCAAAAAGGAAAAAGTAGTGCCACTCAGTATGAATTCTAGGTAGCATTTGCTTTGTTTCTCATACTCTGATGCTTTGAGAGAGACATGTAGAGATGGAAATTTCTGGAAAGTAGATGAGGAGTAGTAGAACTCTAATCCTAAACATGAGATATTTCTTAGTAAGTGGTGTTGGACAGTAGACTAAATGGCCTTGAGGAATAGTAGAGATATTTAAGTATAAGCTGAACATCTGTTTACCAGAGGTATGCTATTTTTTCTCATGTGGCCAAGGGCTGGTCTCCCCCACATGTATATGCATCCTTTGAAGCATCCCACATTTTCTTGATCTCTAGCATAAAGTCCAAGTGCTGATGGTTCAGTTGCTGCCCTCATCAGAGTTCTGTGAAGCAATGCAATGAAGGCACAGCCACTACCTCTCATGCAGCTGCCTTGATCCAAGTTTAGCCACTGTTTCCTGTACTTCTGCCTTCTCTGCGTGGCTTTGACTGTCCCAAGTCTTGGCTGGAGAGGGGACTTCCCATGCTCTGCTTCTTGGTACCAATTGACTACAGGTGTTTAGGGTTAAATAAGAGTTTTCTGCATGCAATTCATGTATTCAATCACTTCAATCCCTGAGCAGCATTAGAAGAGGATTCAGGTTGATCTTTACAGCCACATTACTACAGAGCAAGAATGAATTTTCAAGACCTGGCTGTGTACTCTGCGTGCTTGTTTTCAGATAACCCTGACTACAGTTGCACATAACATAAATGGCAAGGGAACAGGTGCCACAGGCTTCCAGGAAAGCATATTTCAATAAGGCCCTTTCTCTGAACAAAACAGTTCAATGTGATTTCTAAAGTAGCCATATATTTTTAGGTTTATGGAGAAGTTTGGAAAAAACATGGCTACTTTAATGAGCAGCAGAGAGAAGCTGTGATCATGAAAGTTCCAAAGCACTTCTTCTGATTCATTTTGAAGTGTCCATCATCTAATAAAAAGGATGTTAGACACTGCTTGACTGCACACTGTGGTAGCAAAAGAAGAGAAGAGGACATACTTGCTGGTACAACTTGTCTGTCTCTCTCACTTTAGTTAGATGTTAAGGGTCTACATTAAAACTAGCACTTTTATTACACCCAGCGTTTTTTTTGAAGAATGCTTCATAACTTGGTGTTAATTCTGTCAACTCCAGCCCTGTAGCTTCCCTGGTTCCTTTCTGGTTTCTTGACATCTACATATTTAAAATATTCTCTTGTGTGAAATCTTCCAGCAGCTGCAGAGGCAATAATGACATGGATCTTATCCTTTCAGGGATCTATAGTTAGAATAAGAGATCTGCAAAGCCTGTTGTGAAAGAAGAGGGAGATGTACTTCACAATGAGAAGGGTGCAGACACTATGGTACTAGACCTGGATGAATAATGACCTCATAATTCTATGAAGTTCTTCTGACATGATTAATCTTGATTCCATCAAATGTTGACAGCTGCGGGAACTTTCCTAGAAGGTGCTCTGGAACACAACACTCTCCATTAGCACCGCCTGCTGATTTCTCAGGATTATTTGTATGTGTGTAAAAACCCAGTTCCCCAAATTCCAGTACACAAAAATGGTCAGGTTGGATCATCAATGGCAGAGGGAGGCTGCAGACTCACCAAAGGGATTTTTGGTTTTCACCTGTGGAAGGGAATTGCGTTGCATATTTTCATGTTTGTGTATTGAACCTGCATTTAATCTATTTACCAAATAATGTTCAAAGTCCCTAACAAAAAATATAAAAATTATAAAATATAACTGTATCATAACATAATATACGCAAAGTGAAAGACACAAAAACAAACGAGTAAAACTGGAATCAAGAAAAAAGATCAACAAATAATAGATTGACAAATCAGCTTCTGGGTCCAAGACCTAGCAGCTTTTCAAGAGCAGATTTTTCTTCTCTTTGGTTTGTGTTCAGAAGCCAACTTACTGATCTGTCACTCAAATTGGAGCATCTGGTTGGGTTTTTGAAAAAAGGGAGAAAGGTGCGATCACTTCCTAGCACTCTTAAGTAAACAGGTCCACTTACATGCATGCCTGCCCTCTCCCGTCTTTGATGGTAGCTCTTCCCTCCCAGCCTCAACCAACATGTAAAAATATTCATTCTCAGCACGGCAGCCCACGCCCCCAGCTTCAACATATTGCCACCACATGCATTCGTCTTCTGTGCTGACTTCTCCCACAGGGGCCTCCTGTGATTGCAGCCAGATAACAGATTCATGTGGCCGCCGTTACAATTGAAGGGAAAAAGTGTCAGCACAGAATTCCCCTCTTATGCATCATCCTTTCTCTGGTCAGGAAGAAGAAGTGAGGGTGCCAACTCATGTTGCTCATGGAAAGGGGTGGAAGTTAGTAGCTTTCCATGGCGTTCCAACAGCTTTCTGTTAGCAGAAGCGGCATTAATTCTGCAAAATCAGTTGGATCCCAGCAAATGTTTTCCCATTTGCCAATATTAAACGCAGATTGCAGAGTTCTGTGTTTTGGGGGGCTATTTTTCATTTTCTTTGTTGTGCATAAATATGGATATAGTTTTCTTGCCAAAATTCTGGTTCTTTCTTGAACATTTTTAAAAAGGGACAGGATCCCTATCTTGGGAAATTGTGCCCTGCTTGCCTCTCTTCTGATGACAGGCAATCTTGGATCAGTTTGTCCCTTTCTTAGTTAATGGCTCCTTCCTAGAACTCCCTGCACTTACCCGCTTGACGAAGTTATGCAATCTTCATATCAGGAAGTTTCCTTCTTGGCTCATCTCTGGCAGAAGCAGCATTGACAATTTTCCCAAGCCTGCTCCATGTCTTCTGCCCATCAAGTGACTTGGTGTCTCTCGAGACCTGTTTCAAATCTGAGAGGAAGCACAGATGAAACTTGCACGCATGCTTGGACTCTCAGGTGTCCAAGCATGCATGCAAATAGACAGATGGGAGATGGAGCATTCCTCAGGCTTCCTGGGGTATCTGAAGTTGACAGATTCGACATCTCCCTATCTGACTTTCCATCCCTCTGGAAGACATGCATATCTATAACCTGGACACTCTCTTTTCACTCAACTGCTTACTCAGCCTGTGAACAAAGTTGATAGAAAAGATGCAACGCGGCTCATTGAGTAGGAAGGTCAGCAGGGATAAACTGAGCTTGAATAAGACAAGCTTCTTGGTGCTGGCAAAACAACAGGGGATTAATTTTCCAATGTGTGGTTTCCTTGCTATAGCTTTCTCATACAAAGTGAAACTTGTGATAGAACCAGATAGTAATCCCAGGGAGGTCTTTGGGGAATTTTCCAGAGTAACTGAAGGGGACTGAACTGGGGTCAGAGCTTAGTGCTACGGGAATACTTGGCAATTATCTTTGTGGAGGTGGGGTGTCAACTTCTTGCATCATCAGATGACCGACGCACTCTTTTGATGACTTGCACTGAACAGTCTCATGGTCTCTTTTGCTGCAAATTATGGGGATTGTGTTTCTCAAGCAATCAGGGACACTGAGCTGCCATCAAGACTGAAACAATAACATTTAGGAATTTCTCAGACAGCAATCAGATGTGTGGATGAGTAATCTGAAGCCATCCAAAGAATGCAAGAAAGGCAAAGTTGTATGATTGTAAGGTGATTCTCTACTATTCATATCTTTCTTCTTCCTTCCTTCTCCTAGGTACCGGATGCACAAATCCAGAATGTATAGCCAATGCGTCAGGATGAGGCATCTCTCTCAAGAATTTGGATGGCTTCAGATTACTCCTCAAGAATTTCTCTGCATGAAAGCTCTGCTCCTCTTCAGTATTAGTAAGCTGTAGCATTTTCATCTGCTTGTCTTTCTCTCTAAATGATCCACAGTAGACGAGGACCGCTCTGCTAATGGGCATGACTGAGCTCTCATTAAGAAACTGCAGCCTCAGAATCAGCTTTATCATGTGGCGGCTGCCATTGTGGTTGGTTGTACTTTTGTAAGTGAGGAGACTCTTCCATCTTCAGTTGAAAAGGTGGGGGACACCGCCCAGTATTCCTCGGGCTCTTCTTTCTTTTGTCTGCTTCTATACCTTTGATTTCCTCTTTTTATTTTGTTTCAGTTCCAGTGGATGGCCTGAAGAATCAGAAGTTCTTTGATGAACTTCGGATGAACTATATCAAGGAGCTTGATCGTATCATTGCTTGCAAAAGGAAGAACCCCACATCCTGCTCACGTCGCTTCTATCAGCTCACAAAGCTCCTGGACTCTGTGCAGCCTGTAAGTGTGCAGGGGGAGGGTGACCACACAAGTGGAGAGTTGGCCGAGGACCTTGGTGGAACAGCCAATATCTGCTCAGACCAGCAAGGGGCTCAGGAAAGGGGAAACACAGATCCTAATAAGTCACGGAATCCTCTTGGAGTCAGTTTTAGAAAAGATCAAGGTGACATTGTAGATGTTTTCTAACACAAGGGATTATACCACAAAGGGATGAATAATTACACTTTGTAATATCACTTCATATTTTATAGGGGCTTTCCCAGCTGAGGTGTCCTCCAGATTTGAGGACTTCAGTTAATGCAGCAGAGGTGAACAGCCTCCAGTCCCAGAGCTGCAAGCAGCCTTACAATCCTTGGGCTCAGCCCCCAGAGAGCCCCAAAAGTGTATATACAAACTTCTCTGCCACTTTAATCATTGTAGGCAACGTTGTCGCTGCATTATAATTTTCAGTGTGACAGTGGTATGGAAATTGTCACAGAAACACAGAACTGGATGTTAATCCCATTAACTAAATTAAATTTAAATCTAAATCTAAATGAAAGTTTAGTTATTGTTCTGTCTTGGTAAACAGTGGCTCCTGGCACACCACTCAACAGCCATATGCAGCTTGGAATAAGCTGTACGCCCTCCCCTTAATGCTTGCTTAGGGTTGGTTCTTTGGGCCGGAGCCAAATACCCACTGTCGTGTTCCAAATGCCCCCTGCCAGGGATGCCCCCTGGAGAGACTCCATCTGTTAGTTTTCTGTGGGACTGGAACAGGGCATGCTGTTGGACCCCTAGCCACAGTTACAGGGCACGTGGAGCATTTCCAGATGCTGGCCCCGCAAACACAGGACAGTGTGGTGCCTCCATGCAATAGAAGGGAAGAAAATACTGAGGTGAAAAAGAAATCATATATCAATGGTACATCAAACTGCTGCTTGTTTAAAACAGAAAAGTGTGAGCAAAAGGAAGGAGTGGGTGAAGGGACTAAGCTCTTAAAGCACCGAACTGTTGCTTGAAAAGCCAAAAATGATTCAAATTAGGGATTGTGGCTATTTGGATCTGAAGCAGAAAAGGGGCTTCAGATCTGGAGTGACTGTGTTCGCCACACCCATCAGCACCTCCTTGAAGAAACTACATGCCAACTGGATGGTGAGCACACTTTTCTGCACCAGATCCGTAGTTCACATTGGGTGATGGTCACTGCTGCAGGGGATCTGCAAAGGCTTGCTGCTCTTACAAAAGGGTGTGGGAACATTCAGCCTCAAAGCAAGTGTAAAATCTCTGGGATCGTTCCACCTTAATATTTCAGAAAGTGGCATGTGGAACGGATGGTGGGAAACGAAGGAGGTGTTTTATGCAGCCCCATCACAAACCTGGTGGCTTCCCAGAGTTTCAAAGCAGAAAAGAAAATTCAGTCTGAATTTAACACTGGGAACGGCAAAGTGGGGTGGGAAGGATGCTGATTATAAGCAGATGCAAGCAGAGGCCCTTCAGCTTTGAGAGGGGCCAGACTGGGCATCAGGCAGTGCCTCTTCTTCCATGGACGTTGCCACGTTAGGCCACATTCCAGTGCAGCCTTGGCCACAGAGCAAAATGGTCTGGCCCGTTCCAGCATCATCCCAACTGTCTGAAAACGAGCTCTGTGCCTTGACTTGGGGCTCAGACGGTGAGGAGAAAGTGATGTCGAGCGCTACTTGCCACATAGCTCCAGAGGCTTCATCAAAACAAAAAAGCAGGCCACACTCTGCAGAACATTGTGCATGTTGTGGTTGCTGAGAGAACAGAATGCCCTTACACAAGCCCAGCCAGGACAATGGGACCCGAGGAATAACTAGGTATTCTCCCCCCTCCCCTTTGAAGCAACAACGGACAACTGCCAGTGGCCCCCAGTCCTCCTTAATGCCAGTTAGCAGGCCTCGTGGGCAGAAGGTCCCTATGAGCGTGCGTTCTCCAGTCCCTGGAAAGACTTGCTGGGGAGCCTCAATGTGACAACCTCCCTTTTCCTCCTTTAGATTGCCAGAGAACTGCATCAGTTTACATTTGACCTCTTGGTGAAGTCGCACATGGTGAGTGTCGACTATCCTGAAATGATGGCTGAGATCATCTCGGTGCAGGTCCCCAAGATCCTTTCTGGAAAAGTGAAGCCCATCTACTTCCACACCCAGTGAGGGCAAGCAGCAGAAGGCCTTCTTTCCTGAGGTCTCTGGACTCCTGCACTGCAGTGCCTTGGAATACTGTGTCTTCAAAGATGCACAGTAACCACAAAGAACTCTTTGCTGGGCCCCCTTTCTGGTTTTTGTTTTCTGCTTTTCGCCTGAATTGCCCTTCAAATCAAGAGATCTGTCCGGACGTTCACTGGCTTCAGTGGCTCGTTGTGTGCATGAACTTCAGTCCTCCCTCTTTCGGTCTTGTGGCTTAGTGCCTGGTGGCACTGGTTTACATTCTTGTGCTTGTGCATTCCCCACTGTGGCTTTGGTGGCCCTGCGCAACTAGGAGAAGCATCAGTTCTAAAAACATACACAGCTGCTTTTCTGGTGGTTATCGCTGCTGCTGTTTATTTCCTAACCAATGGCAAGCAGGTTATTAAATGTTGGGATAAGGGGAGAATTTCATATAGGGGACTTTGTGTGTGTGTGTGTGTGTGTGTATCTTGGGTTCTTTTTTTTTTTTAGCAGTTTTTAAATCATCTTTCTCAGCTGGGCTACTCATCTCTCTGAGAAAAGGTCTGAAGTCTGTCGGAAAATACTAAATGAGAGATGTAAACCTGGTACCCCAAAGCAGACAGACAGAATGTAGTTGATACAAATGATTGTAAGACAAGAAAGGAAAACAAAAGAGCATTCTGACACAGCTCTGTGGGCATCTGATGGACTTTAGTTTCAGACAGGGCTTTATTTGCGTATGCAGTAAAGCTCAAGACGCTCCAACTATGCACAGACAGCCATCGTGTTCCCATCACCTGGAACTTCAGCTTAGTGAAGCCACCCCGGTCTGCCATAAACAGACCTGAGGAGCTGGGCATTGCCCTGCTGCCATGGCTATTGTAGAAAGCCAGTCTCTCTACACACTTTGAAGATGCTTGCAACAGCCGATCCCTAATACAAAGTGCCCAATTCATGCAGTGGTTTTTGTGCCCACAAGAGTGGCATGGAAGGTAAAGAAGGGCTGGAAGTTCTACAACTTTCCCAGTGCCCAGAAATGATGGGGGCTGTTTTGCAGCTACTACTTCATCTTTCTTCTTCTGTGGACCATGAGCCAGAAGTAAAAACACTTGCCCAGTGAATGTGAACACATTCCAGTTCTGAGCTTTTTTATCTTTTCATGAACTCTCTCCCTCTTGAGGATACAACTTTAGTTCTCAGCAGTACCCATTCCCACCCCAACCCCCGTCTCTGATAGCCTCATCTTAGCTCTGCTTTTCATTGCATGTCATTCGTTTAACTTTCTAGAGACTTTCTTGGACTTTCACTGTACAGCAGGGAACACTCTCAGAAATCATGCAGATCAGCAAAGCCTTCATGGGAATATCCATCACACGTTGTCCTAGCCCACCCCAGGACAATTTTTTTAAAATTAACATTGGTTCCTTGTGCATTAAATTGCAGTGCAAGACAAAAACATAGATGGAGCCCCTTTTCCCTTCTGCAATTTCTATTGAACAGTAGGAGAGGCTGCATTTTCCAAGAAGATAATGGAACCATCCTCCCAAAATTAAAGCCCTTTTTTATGGAAGAAAAGTACACATAGTACACAACTGTACCATGAAATCCCATGAGGTGGTATGTAAAGATTCAAAGAAGCCATCTTGGTGGATTAGGTTTTTTTCAGACAGAAATACACATGGGGATTTTTGCTAAAGGGAAAATTCAAATCATGCCCTTGGATACCACAAGTGAATGTGTGAAAAGTCCATCAGTTGTAATGAGAATGTTATCTTGATTTATTCTCCTGCTAGGTACCTCTTTTTAGCACAATGTGACATCTGCTGAGAATAACAAAGAGAAAATGAGGATCAAACATTTGGAAAGCTGTATGGGCGTTGTGATGCCCTGCTCTGTTCTTGCTGTGAGTTTAAAGCTTGCCCACCTTGGGTCATTTTGATCTAACACTTATGTTCATTAATAACCTGGCCATTTTTGTGTCTTTGAAGGAGCCTGAACACCCCGGGCTTCAGCTAAAGCAAAAACCAAGGTTACACTTCTAGCGATGCAGAGTTAAAATGACCAGTGTTCAGTTTCATCTCCTCAGAAACAGGAAGAGTCAAACAGCACTACAGTGAGTTAGCTGATGCTTTTGAGTGATGCTGTTCATTGCATTGCTAAAATAAATCTAATATTTTGGTGGCTTTTTAATTTTGGGACTGTTCAGGAGCAGTAATTGGAAGGAACTGTTGACTCGGAAATACGTTCCTGTTTCCTGCACTGTGGTTCCCTCCCCGCCGCTCCCCCTCTCATTGCTTACAGCAATGTTGACAACACTATGAATATGTGGGCTTGCCTGAATCTTACTCATGCTACCTCAAGAGATTTTTAAAGTCACGATGAAGCTCTTTTTAAAACAAGAATCTACATTTTGGATGCTTGGTTTGAAAACATCCTCCTCCCACATACAGCCAACCTGATGAATTGCACTCTTAACCATCCCTCCCTTAAGACTCAATTTAGGTTTAGGAGCCCCTATGAAAGGGTAAGAACACCGTCAAAAGTTGTGCAGAAATGCTGAAAGCAGTTCTGTAGTTGGATCACCCAAACTGTTCAGAAAAACCCGCCTGTGGTCAGTTAGAAGTACAGTCTGCTGACTCAGGCTTCCTCCAGTGCGTTGTGCTCGTGATGTGCCTTCCGCAGAGCTGGCTGTGGTGTTCCAGTATACATGCGTGTGTTTCTATGGCTTGGTTCCAAGATACTCTTCTCCCCACATTCAAATCTTCTGAAAACCTTCTTGGCATTCAAGGGCAACACACATCCTTCATGCACAGCTGCTGCAAATCGGCAGAGCGCTCCTCCTTTGACACCTTCAAGATCCACGTGCAGTCAAAGCGCCGCCTGGGATTCCTCTCTGATCTATCATGGCCGCTTCACGTTTTGGATACCACAGTGAACTTGCCAGTCCTTCAAGTTCCCCAGGATCACTCATTTACTGTTGCTGTGACCTGGCACCCAGCAGCTTCTTCGTGATTTCTCGTCCATCTCTTTAACGTCAAGCGATGCCGCCCAATGACCGCTTGCTTGGCCTCCAGCCCGGGCAGCCATCTTCCTCTGCGCATCAGAGCCCGGGAGAAGCTTGATCTTCTAACCGGTTCTGGAAGATCCGTTCAAACCTTTTTTAATGAATGCCGTGTAAATATTGGAGAGTGGATTAGTGGTGTCTAGGAATTAAATATTTACTTTCTTCAGTTTATTTGCAGTGGGCTACTGCTGCCGCAGTGGCAGTAAAAGGGAAAGGGGCTTGTGAAGTATGAAAAGCATTTACAAAATCGTAGCCATCAGTCCATATTTTTAGTATGCATTTTATGCATTAAAATTATTATGCGTTTTTTAAACTGTACTTATGCTTGAGTACGTTCTATTCTGCCATACGAAAATTCCCTTTTGTGACATGAGAAGTCATTTCCAGACCCAAATCACTCTAAAAAATGCCCAGGATTGTAAATGGCCTGACAAAAGAAGGGAGGGCCTTCAGCCCTGTCTGTCTCAGGTGCCCGGTCAGCAGCTGCGGCCCCCGGCCCCTCACACTTGATGGTGCCCACAGGGGCATATTTGGTCTTGTTCATTTGCAGTTGGGAAAAAAGAGGGAGAATTAATTGAAGTGCCCACTCCCACTGTACAAAGAAGGGTCTTGTGTGCTTGGCTCTAGACAACACCACAATTCTGATGACAATAGCTCTGCATCACAGATTTGGGATTAATTTTATTTTTGATGTGGGATGTATGTGCTTAAGAATCGTAGACTTTCTGTACTTAAAGATGCCTTATATGTATGTTTTCCTTTTATTTTTTGGAAAAACATTTTCCAATTCTCTCCCTTAGTTATTACTGGAATTCTGAGAATTATCTTTTGTCTGAAGCGCCTTGTAAAAGCATAAGCTATTTCTGTGTTCACTTGCTGCAATTTTGACCGAAAAATGTGTTGGTAGTGTTATTACCAAAGAATGTTATTTAAAATGGAAAAAAAGAGAGAGATTTATGCTCTATTTTGACAAGTCACCCTCTTGCTCTGGGGGCAGAGGGGCCCTTCTCTGCATCCCAGTAAGCATTTTCTGCCGTGCTGTGGGGATGGAAGGCCTGTGGGTTTATCTGAGAAAGACATTTGAAAAGCATTGGAACCTGGTTGTACAAATGTATTTACCCGCATGCCGAACTGAGCAGCCAGTTGTGCTCTATCCAGAGAGCATCTTGTGGGTGCATGGGGAGCACATTGGTTACATTATTTGCACTGGGGGGAGCAGTGTCCTAATTCTGCTCCCATTTGAGAACGCTAAAGATTCTCTACACATGCAACTCCTCAGAGGGTGGAGGAGAAATGTTTTACCGGAGAGGGTGTTTTGCAACGCAGCCTCTACCTGAGATGTGTGCAAGGATTGGAAGGCTAAAGGTTGTGTGCTACTTCAGGAGCAACCCTTGGAACGTCTGTTTCCCTTCACGCTGCAGCCTTCACCTCTACCTGTGAGGATACTGCACCTTGAAAGTAAAGCACAGGTGCCTTGAACAGGTGGAGGGAGAAGGGCTGTGGCCGTGGCCAGGAGAGGCCATTGGCTCTGTCTCTCTTGCTGTCCAGGGCCTTCGGGTTTACCAGAGGGGATGCAAGGGAGGACATTCAAGTGTCAGGAAAGAGTCAAGTGCACACCTTTCTGTATTTTATGGCTTTCGATTTTAGCAGAAGTATTCTGTTTCTCCCTCACCCCTTGCGTTTAATGGGTAGGAAGCAGAGGGGGCTCAAGGGACCAGACTCCTGTCCTTCTTTGGAGAGCCCGGGGGGGAGGGGGAATATTCTTTTTCTTCAAGCATAGCTGAAGCCAGAAATAATTCTGTAAAGATTGTGGCACTTTTTAAAAAAATGTTATATTTGTTAATCTGCTTGTGTATTTTTTTAAATTAAATCTTCACATACATAGAATGTTATTGTTAGATGAGATCATACGAGTGGCTGTGCACTAGAGTTGCGTGCATATAGGAGGGAGTTCTCTGTGAAAGAAGGTAGATGGACTTGTACAGATTTCTGTGGTCTTAATGCAGCCAAATAAGCTTGTGATACTATAAAATATCACTACCAGCCAAACAGCTGAAATATTGCCCTCAGCACAGCCGCCCTCACAGCTTTCCAGCTGTGTTAGGATTCCAGTACCCAGAACTGCCTCTCAGTGTGGGCAAAGGACCACCCTGAGATGCATCAAAGGGCACCAGGTTGAGGAGTGCTTTAGTTGGGATATTAAGAATTCATTGCAGAAAGAATGATGAGATAAATAGATAGATTAGATAGACAGAGATAGATAGATAGATAGATAGATAGATAGATAGATAGATAGATAGATAGATAGATAGATACGATGACATTTCAT